GTGAGCCACCATGCCCGGCCAGATTAAACAAAGATTTTAAAATAAAACACAAAAGCACAAGCAACAACAAAACAGATAAATTGGACATCATCAAAATTTTAAAAATTGTGTGTCAAAGGACAGTATCAAATAAACGAAACAAACCCCCACAAAATAGGAGAATATATTTGCAAATCATGTATCTGATAAACATCTAGTATCCAGAATATATAACGAATTCTTTTAAAAACAAAAAGACAAACAACCCAATTTTAAAAAATGGGCAAAGCACTTGAATAGATATGTCTCCAAAGATATACACATGGCCAAGCAAACAAACAAACAAAAAAAAACAAGAAAAGAGGCTCAACATCATTAGTCATTTGGGAAACACAAATCAAAACCACAGTGAGATACTACCTCACGCTCACTAGGATGGCTAAAACAAACCAGCAAAAACCCTAGAAAATATAAGTTCTGACAAAGATGTAGAGAAACTGTACCTCTGGTACATAGCTGACAGGAATGTAAAATGGTGCAATCGCTGTGGAAAACAGTATGTAGTATGTCAGTTCCTCATTAAGTTAAACAGAATTACCATATAATCCAGCAATTACACTGCTAGATATATACATGAACGAACTGAAAACAGGAATTCAAACAAATACCTATACACAAATGTTCACAACAGCACTATTTGCAATAGCAAAAAGGTAGAAAGAACCCAAATATCCATCTGTGGATGAACATATAAAACAAAATGTGGTATTATCCCTACAGTGGACTATTACTTAGCATTAAAAAGGTATGAAATACTGATACATGGTATACAATGTTAATGAACTTTAAAAACATTAAGTGAATGAAGCCAGAAAGAAAAGGTCATATATTATACGATGCCATTTATAGGAAATAACCAGAAAAGGTAAATCCATAGAGATAGAAAGCAGATTGGTGGTTGCTGGGAGCGAGAGGGAGAAGAAAATGAGGAGCGACTGTTTAATGGGTTTGAGGTCTTCTTTGCGAGTCATGAAAAGGTTTTTGACCTAGAGTTGATGATTGCACACATGGTAAATGTAATAAATGTCACTGTCCTGTACAATTTAAATTGGTTAACTTTGTGTTATGTGAATTTCACCTCAATAAACGAAATTTCAATGGTCATGGTTTCTAAAAACAGTTATGTTGCTTTCACTACCAAAAAGCTAAATTTTGGCCAGGCACAGTGGCTCACGCCTGTAATCCCGGGGCTTTGGGAGGCCAAGGAGGGCGGATCACCTGAGGTCAGGAGTTCAAGACCAGCCTGACCAACATGGAGAAACCTAGTCTCTACTAAAAATACAAAATTAGCCGGGCGTGGGGGCACATGCTTGTAATCCCAGCTACTTGGGAGGCTCAGGTAGAAGAATCGCTTGCACCCAGGAGGCGAAGGTTGCAGTGAGCCAAGATCGTACCATTGTACTCCCCAGCCTGGGCAACAAAAGCGAAACTCCGTCTCAAACAAACAAAAAAAGCAAGCTATGCTTTCATTCATACACAATTCTATAAAAGGTAAAACTAATCTACAGGAAGAGAAAGTAGATTAATGGCTGTCTGGGGCCAACATGGGTACTTACTACAAAGAGGTATCAGGAAGCTTTCTGGATAAAGTTTTCTTTCTGGATAA